CAATTTCAGGATTAAATCCCCCCAAGTTTTTGGGCTCAATCCCCCCCATTTTAGGATTAACCCCCCCCAATTTCAGGCTCAATCCCCCCAATTTTGGGCTCAACCCCCCCATTTTGGGCTCAAACCCCCCAATTTCAGGACTCAATCCCCCCCCCATTTTGGGCTCAATCCCCCCCAATTTCAGGCTCAATCCCCCCAATTTCAGGCTCAATCCCCCCAATTTCAGGCTCAATCCCCCCAATTTCAGGCTCAATCCCCCCAATTTCAGGCTCAATCCCCCCAATTTCAGGCTCAATCCCCCCAATTTCAGGCTCAATCCCCCCAATTTCAGGCTCAATCCCCCCAATTTCAGGCTCAATCCCCCCAATTTCAGGCTCAATCCCCCCAATTTCAGGCTCAATCCCCCCAATTTCAGGCTCAATCCCCCCAATTTCAGGCTCAATCCCCCCAATTTCAGGCTCAATCCCCCCAATTTCAGGCTCAATCCCCCCAATTTCAGGCTCAATCCCCCCAATTTCAGGCTCAATCCCCCCAATTTCAGGCTCAATCCCCCCAATTTCAGGCTCAATCCCCCCAATTTCAGGCTCAATCCCCCCAATTTCAGGCTCAATCCCCCCAATTTCAGGCTCAATCCCCCCAATTTCAGGCTCAATCCCCCCAATTTCAGGCTCAATCCCCCCAATTTCAGGCTCAATCCCCCCAATTTCAGGCTCAATCCCCCCAATTTCAGGCTCAATCCCCCCAATTTCAGGCTCAATCCCCCCAATTTCAGGCTCAATCCCCCCAATTTCAGGCTCAATCCCCCCAATTTCAGGCTCAATCCCCCCAATTTCAGGCTCAATCCCCCCAATTTCAGGCTCAATCCCCCCAATTTCAGGCTCAATCCCCCCAATTTCAGGCTCAATCCCCCCAATTTCAGGCTCAATCCCCCCAATTTCAGGCTCAATCCCCCCAATTTCAGGCTCAATCCCCCCAATTTCAGGCTCAATCCCCCCAATTTCAGGCTCAATCCCCCCAATTTCAGGCTCAATCCCCCCAATTTCAGGCTCAATCCCCCCAATTTCAGGCTCAATCCCCCCAATTTCAGGCTCAATCCCCCCAATTTCAGGCTCAATCCCCCCAATTTCAGGCTCAATCCCCCCAATTTCAGGCTCAATCCCCCCAATTTCAGGCTCAATCCCCCCAATTTCAGGACTCAATCCCCCCCCATTTTGGGCTCAATCCCCCCAGTTCCAGCCCCCGCCAGCAGCAGCAGCACTGACCATGTTGAGCAGCCCCGTTCCCTGCTCCATGATGCCGTGGGGCAGCCCCACGGGCAGCTCCAGCCCGGCCACGCCGTAGGGCGCGGGGGCGAAGGGCGCCTCGGCGGCGCCGCCCGGCTCGCCCAGGTCCTCGAAGTGTCCCACCACGGCCAGCGAGGGGTCGGACTCCAGCGGGATGGGCGGGATCTCAAACTCCTCGTCGCCCAGGCTGGGCGTGTGGAACGTCTGCGGGGGCCAGCGGTTACCGCCGTTTTACCCCAAAATCCGTGCTTTTCGCACCGATTCTGCTGGTTTTATCTCAGAATCGGTGCTTTTCGCAACGATTCTGGGGGTTTTACCCCAAAATAGGAGCTTTTCACACTGATTCCAGTGGTTTTACCCCAAAATCGGTGCTTTTCACACCAAATTCCTGTGGTTTATCTCAAAATCAGCGCTTTTCACACCGATTCTGGTGGTTTTACCTCAAAATCGGTGCTTTTCACACCGATTCCGGGGGTTTTACCCCAAAATCGGTGCTTTTCCCACTAAATTCCAGTGGTTTTACCCCAAAATCGGAGCTTTTCGCACCGATTCTGCTGGTTTTATCTCAGAATTGGTGCTTTTCGCACCGATTTCGGTGATTATACCCCAAAATCGGTGCTTTTCCCACTAAATTCCAGTGGTTTTACCCCAAAATCGGTGCTTTTCCCACCAAATTCCAGTGGTTTATCTCAAAATCAGCGCTTCTCACACCGATTCTGGGGGTTTTACCCCAAAATCGGAGCTTTTCGCACCGATTTCGGTGATTTTACCCCAAAATCGGTGCTTTTCCCACTAAATTCCAGTGGTTTTACCCCAAAATCGGTGCTTTTCCCACCGATTCTGGTGGTTTTATCTCAAAATTGGTGCTTTTCGCACCAATTCTGGGGGTTTTACCCCAAAATCGGTGCTTTTCACACTGATTCCAGTGGTTTTACCCCAAAATCGGTGCTTTTCCCACCAAATTCCTGTGGTTTATCCCAAAATCGGTGCTTTTTGCACCGATTCCAGTGGTTTTACCCCAAAATCGGAGCTTTTCGCACCGATTCTGCTGGTTTTATCTCAGAATTGGTGCTTTTCGCAACAATTCTGGGGGTTTTACCCCAAAATCGGAGCTTTTCCCACTGATTCCAGTGGTTTTACCCCAAAATCGGTGCTTTTCCCACCAAATTCCTGTGGTTTATCTCAAAATCCGTGCTTTTCACACCGATTCTGGTGGTTTTATCCCAAAATCGGTGCTTTTCACACCGATTCTGGGGATTTTACACCAAAATCGGTGCTTTTCCCACCAAATTCCTGTGGTTTATCTCAAAATTGGTGCTTTTCGCACCGATTCTGGTGGTTTTATCTCAGAATCGGTGCTTTTCACAACAATTCTGGTGGTTTATCCCAAAATCGGCGCCTTTTGCACCAATTCCGGTGATTTTACCCCAAAATCACTGTTTTTCTCACCAATTCTGGTGATTTTACCCCAAAATCACTGGTTTTCTCACCAAATTCCAGTGGTTTATCCCAAAATCAGCACCTTTGTACCAAATTCCAGTGGTTTATCCTAAAATAGGTGCTTTTCCCACCGATTCTGGTGATTTTACCCCAAAATCACTGGTTTTCTCACCAAATTCCAGTGGTTTATCCTAAAATAGGTGCTTTTCCCACCGATTCTGGTGGTTTTATCCCAAGATCGGTGCTTTTCACACCAAATTCCTGTGTTTTATCTCAAAATCCGTGCTTTTCACACCGATTCTGGTGGTTTTATCTCAAAATCCGTGCTTTTCACACCGATTCTGGTGGTTTTATCTCAAAATCGGTGCTTTTCACAACAATTCTGGTGGTTTATCCCAAAATCGGCGCCTTTTGCACCAATTCCGGTGATTTTACCCCAAAATCACTGTTTTTCTCACCAATTCTGGTGATTTTACGCCAAAATCACTGCTTTTCTCACCAAATTCCAGTGGTTTATCCCAAAATCAGCACCTTTGTACCAAATTCCAGTGGTTTATCCTAAAATCGGTGCTTTTCCCACCGATTCTGGTGGTTTATCCCAAAATTGGTGCTTTTCACACTGATTCTGGTGATTTTACCCCAAAACTGGTGCTTTTCCCACCAAATTCTGCTGGTTTTACCCCAAATTGGCTCCTTTTGTAACAAATTCTGCTGGTCTTACCCCAAAATCAGCATTTTTTGCACCAAATTCCTGCTATTTTACCCCAAAATTGGCGCCTTCTGCCCCCAATTCCAGCATTTACCCCCAAAATTGCCCAAAACCACTCCAAATTCCAGAGTTTTCCCCCAAAATCTCCTCTTTTCCCACCTCTTTGACCTCGCTTTTTCCTCCTCATTTTCCCAACTTGAACGATTTTCTTTCCATTCCCTTTTTTTTTTTGGAATTTCACCTCGTTTTTCACAAAATTTTTCACTTTTTTACCCCATTTTGCACCGTTTCCCCACAATTCCACAAAATTTTATCTCTGTTTTCCTCACACACCCCCCTCATTTTACCAAATTCCTTAAAACCCCCCCAAATTCTCCTTTCCCTACAGAATTTCCCTCACTTCCAGCCATTTTTTTTCTCCTTTTCCCACCATTTCACCCCCATTTTTTCCCATTTTTTTCACATTTTTTCCTTGTTTTTTCATGTTTTTTTCTTGCTTTTTCCCATTTTTTCTTGTTTTTCCCCATTTTTTTCTTTTTTCCTGTTTTTTTCCCATTTTTTCCTGTTTTTTCCCATTTTTTGCTTGTTTTTTCATGTTTTTTTCCTGTTTTTCTCCCATTTTTTTCTTGTTTTTTCTCATTTTTAATCCGGTTTTCCCCATTTTTTTGTTTTTTCCCATTTTTCTCTTGCTTTTCCCCATTTTTTTCTTTTTTCCTGTTTTTTTCCCATTTTTTCCTGTTTTTTCCCATTTTTTTCTTGTTTTTTCATGTTTTTTTCCTGTTTTTCTCCCATTTTTTTCTTGTTTTTTACCATTTTTTTTCCGGTTTTCCCCATTTCTTTGTTTTTTCCCATTTTTTCTTGTCTTTCCCCTGTTTTTTCTTGTTTTTTCCCTGTTTTTTCCCCGTTTTTTCCCATTTTTTTCCCATTGTTTCCCCGTTTTTCCCCGTTTTTTCCCATTTTTTTCCCATTGTTTCCCCGTTTTTCCCCGTTTTTTCCCGTTTTTCCCCCATTTTGTGGTGTTTCTCACCTCGGCCCCGCTCAGGAAGGGATGCGAGGCGCCCGTGATGGCCAGGTAATTATCGCTGCCTCCCGGGAACTGCAAAACCAAACCCAAATCTTTCACCTTTATTCCTCCTTTCCATCACTTTCCCCCTTTTTTCCCATTTCCCTCCGTTTTCCCCCCATTTTCCCACCCTTTTCCCTTCCCTTTTCTCCTTTTCTCCTCCTTCCCCCGCTTTTCTCCACCTTTTTCACCGTTTTTCCCTCCTTTTTGCCCAATTTTCCCCGTTTTCCCCACTTTTCCCCTCACACTTTGCCACCCTCAACCCCTTTTATCCCATTTCCCCTTTTTCCCCCATTTTCCCCTATTTTTTCCAGTTTTTCCCTTTTATCACATTTTTCCCTCTTTAATCCCCATTTTCTCCTCTTTAATCTTCATTTTCCCCTCTTTTATCCCATTTCCCCCTCTTTTATCCTATTTTCCCTCTTTTTTCCCCTCACACTCACCCCCCTCCCTTTAAACAACCCCAAACTCCTTTTCCACCCTTTTTTCCCTCTTTTTTCCCCATTTTCCCCCTCACACTCACCCCCCTCCCTTTAAACAACCCCAAGCTCCTTTCCCACCCTTTTTTCCCCCTTTTTTCCCCACTTTTCCCCTCACGCTCTCCCCTCACCCCAAACCCTTCCCGCCCCCCCTTTCCCCTCACGCCCTCCCGCCCCTCACCCCAACCTCCCCAACCCCCCGTTTTTCCGCCTCACGCTCTCCCCTGCCCACCCCCGCCGCCGTTTTTCCCCCTTTTTTCCCGTTTTCTGCCCGTTTTTGCCCGTTTTTTCCCCCTTTTCCCCTCACGCTCGCCCCCCCTCACCTCCATCGCGCCGCCGCTGCCGCCCCCCCCCGGGCGCCGCGCGCCCGACCGGAAGGCCCGCCCCTC